CTTACCTGTACTGAGGAGTAACATGTGCGACCCGTAACCTGCACGTGACGGTTTACCTGTACTGAGGAGCAACATGTGTGACCCATAAACTGCACGTGACGGTTTACCTGTACTGAGGAGTAACATGTGCGACCCGTAACCTGCACGTGACGGCTTACCTGTACTGAGAAGCATTCTGGAGTTGGCTTGTTGCTGCAACTCCACCGTTTCCTCAGAGCTCTCTGCTACTTCTCCCCCAGCCTTGTGGGGTTGCTCCTGAGTTTCTGCCCTCAGGGAAGTTTTCCTGATGTCCCCAGCCTCGTCGCCAGCTTGAGTGGGGGATGGCGGGCTGGCAGCAGGTACAGGGCTAGCAGCAACTGTAGAGACAGCAGAAGTGGTAGGAAGGGAGGGGACATTTGGAGTGGGGGAGGTGGGGTCTGGAGCCATCAGGGGGGTTTTGGCCCTCATCTCCAGAGCTGAGAGTCCCTGAGTGTCCATGCTGGCTCCCGTGGAACAGACTGGGGGCGGGGCCTGTGGTGCGGCCAGAGTTGGCTGCTCATCGGGGGGTGTGCTGACCACCTCCTGGTCAGAGTGCCCGTTCATTGCCTTGGAAGGAGGGGCCATAGTGATAGGTGGCTCCTGGGCCCCACCCTGAGATGGGGCAGCAGGTGGTGCAGTCATTTGTGTCTCCTCCCTTTGGGGGCTATGGGGCTCCATAGAGCCTGCTACAGGGGCGGGGCCCCCGCCAGGACCCAGGGCAGCAGCAAGTTCCGGTTTCTCCAGTGGAAGGGTTAGTGGCGTAGGGACACCTCTGCCTCTCCTCTCGCTGGGGGAGTCAGAAAGTCGGAGGCCAGGGGACGAAGACTTGGGTGTGAAGGACTCCGACTCCAGCTTCTGATCTGCAAAATAGGAGCAGAGGAGAGAGACCAGCTAGTGAAAAAGATGCATGCAGAATGTCCTACTGGAATACCCCAGTCATTATATCCTGCTTGAAGGGATAAAACTGCAGCAGCTGTTTCACTGAAATCTTCCCTCCTCCCATACTTTTTATTATTATTTATTTTTTTAATTTTCCATCAACAGCCAGATTCTTCGCCTGAAATATTCTGGAGAATACCACAGGAGCAGGGTGGGCGCATGGCAAGAGTAGGTGGCGACGCAGCAGAGGATGCTGGGATACCGGACCTGGCGGAGGCTTGGTGTCGGCGGGCACAGGCGGGTGCGGGGGGCTGGCCTCCCTGCTGTACACCAGGGGGCCGTGCTCGGAGAGTTGGCTGCCCAGCTGCTGGGATTTGAGGTAGAAAATGTGAGGATAATGAGGGTGCGGACACAAGAACTAGCAAAGCGGAAGATGGACAGGGAGCCCACCCACCCACCCACACAGCGGCGAGTGCGTAAACGGGGACACAAAAGGAGGGGCCGGGAGACAGGGAGACGCAAAGACGGGCACAGATATCAAGAAAAAAAAAGCAAAACAACAGGAATGGGGACGATAAGAAAAGGAGGGAAGAGCACAAGGCCATGGGAACAACGGAAAAATGGGGAAAAAAGCAGAAGGAAATAAATGAGAAAGGTACGGTAATGACACATGCAAGTGGTCAGGGCACGCAACGAACGATGGATTAAAAAAAACAAGGAGACAAAAAGAAAGGGAAACAAATAGTGTTAACATCAAAGGAGAAGACACTGAGGAAGAGTCAGAGCAGAGGAAGGCCTTTCTGCAGAGCCCAGCAGAGCTGGAAAATCCAGCTCCAGAAAGTACAAATCCAGACCAGGATTTTGTTTCAACCAACCAGTTGAGCATGAAGAGTCACAGAGTACTCAACTGCTTGGATGAATCTTGGTCTGGATTTGTACTTTCTGGAGCTGGATTTTCCCACCTCTGGAGCTGAGGCTGGTGAAGCCAAAGGGCACGGACAGAGAGCATCATCGACGGCCAACCCCACGTTAAGCTGGTAAACTTGGAGCTCAGTCTGCATAAGATTCTGCTAACCAAGAGCAGCACACAAAACAAGTCTACTCTCAGGTGAAAGCTGCAAAGTTCACCTGAGAAGGTTCAACATTTGTTTTGCTAATGGTCTGAAGTCAAACAAAGTTCCCCATCTCCCCAACGTGACCCACATAACCCTACTATTATGTCACTGAATGACACCCCAATAAAAACAGGCCAGACACACAAAAGCAAAAGCAACAGAAACAGTGATCAAGTTGGTGTTATAATCACCAATAATCCAGTGACACAAGCAGAGTTTTCACGCTCGTCAGAATGACATCATTCTTAATCATCACAGGCACTTAGTACATAGCATAACCCCAAGAGGACTGAAATCAATACTTCCATAGATGGGTACATTCTGCTGGAGGGTGGGGTTTACAATGGCAGGAGTGGTTAAGCCAATAGCAGGTGGACGGGTGGGGCAGAGCTCACCTGGGGCAAGGTTGGGGTGGAGGAGGGTCTTCCAACAGGGGGCGTCGGATTCCGGCTACCGGCTCCTCCGGACAAGATCTCCTCTGTGACGTCCCTGCCCCCTTGGTTGGGATCCCGGATACGGATCTGGGAGAACAATTACACAGAGAGGGGCGGGGGCTCACTAAAGCACTGAAGTCACACATGGGCCGTTCGGCCCCTCCTTGCCTCCAGTGACAATGTCCATCTACAACTAACAGGTGTTAATTTATTCAGGTAGATGTAAACACATCGATGTCGATAGAGGAATCTGAACTGTGCCCAGAAACCAAGGCTGCTGCTACTACAAAAACAACATAATAATACATAACCTCTGACAACCAGAAAATCTCATAGACTCTGGACTGCAGGTCGACTGACACGGCTTATTTGTGCTCCCGCTGCTCCCCAACCCCCCCCCCCTGCCCCCCCCACACACACACACATACACACACACACACACACACTGCTGACGCTCTCAGATACTCACTGTCTTCTTTTCCCTCTTGGCCGGTGGAGGCTGTTGTGGTGTAGGCACTATGATGGGTGGCGAGGGGGGGTAGACCGTCTGCCCAGAGTAGTATGGAGGACTCGCTATGTCATGTTGGGGGGGGGGGTGAGGAATAGCATTGTCAAAGTGGCTTTAGGGACAAATAATTCAGACCAGGAAACTAACCCCAGCGGTTGACCCTATTACATCCAGACCATGTGACCACTGTGTTCTGAAGTCTCTCCAGGTCCCGGGTTCAATGCTGGGCTTAATAGGGGGGGGGATGGAATCTAGTGGTCACATTCACTCAGATCTCTTAACTAACAATTTGCAAAAGCAAGAATGACCCAACAAAGACCTCTAACCCTGCCAACAATGAGCGGATTGACAGGGGGTAATGCAGCACCCCCACTGGTTTTTAATGCCTTGTGCCCCCCCCACCATAAAAAAAGTATGAGGAGAACACAGGACAAAACCATAGAAAATATAAGCATTCCCCCTGTAATAAACCCAAAGTCTTCAGCTCTTTCTGTACACAGTTAAGGACCACACACAAAGGCAAACACAAACACACAGTCTGTGCAAGATGTAACTGAAAGTTGTACCACAATCTACACCGGCCATGGATGATATCGGCAAAAAAATAAATCCGGACATCTGGTCCTTACTATAAGGAGCCGGGAAGTCCCCAGGGCCGGGGCCGGGGTAGAAGGTGCCCGGACCGGGCGGCTGCACCGAGAACTGCTGGGGGGGTCCTATGTAGGGGGCGCTGTGCCGGTACTGTGGAGAGTCAAGGAAGATGAGGTTTAGAATAACAGTTTGAAACCTAGAGGGGATGGGTGGGAGAGGCCCCCACCTGGTGGATGTAGTACTGGGGAGCTTGTGGCGACGGGAAGGGCATGGGTGCCATGGTCATCATGATGGGCTGGTTAGGCTGGTACACAGCCGCAGCGGGGGGGGCGGGGGCCGGAGGCTGGGAACCGGGCTGAAGGGAGGGGCCGCCCCCCGGGATGGGAGCTCGAGCCGTCTGCATCTGGGCACGCTGGAAAAACTGGGGGACAGAGAAATGAAAGACAAATGAGAAAAGATGATAAATGTACACACACACACACACACACACAAACACACACAGACACACAAACACAGACACACACACAAACAGACACACACACACACAGACACACAAACACAGACACACACACACAAACACAGACACACACACAAACACAGACACACAGAGACACACATACACACACACAAACACAGACACATACACAAACACACACACAAACAGACAGACACACAAACACACATAGATACACAAATACACACACACACAGACACACAAACACAGACACACACACACACACACAGACACACACACAGACACACACACAGAGACACACATACACACACACATACACAAACACACACACAAACAGACAGACACACAAACACAGACACACATAGACACACAAATACACAGACACACAGACACACAAACACACAAACACAGACACACAGACACACACACAGACACACATACACACAGATCTGGACTTCATGACAAATCATTTTGGGCTTTTGGCAGACGGCACCTCAGATGCTGAGATTAAAGACGATTAATTCTTAAACGTTCATACAGACGTTACCTACACGACCTTATTAACCCAGGACGCAAAAAGAGAATATTAGCAGGTGTTTCTCTACTGCCAAGTGCTCATCACATCTCCGCGAGGCTTTTTAGGGCCGGGCTGCCGCAGCCGGTCCCCCCGCAGGCTGGTTCCTCACAGATGCGGCTGCGTGGGCGTCAGTGCAGAAATGAAAATAACAGACGGTGATGTTTCCTGCGCGGGGCGAGCGGCCGGCAGGATGGCACGGCCAACGTGCTCCCTGTGCACTGGCAAGCCCTGCTGGTGAAAGAGTGTAACGTGCCACGCGCCACGCGCCACTAATGCTGAAAAATATGGCAAGAGGGTGAGAAGCACCAAACGGCTCTCTATGAAAGCAAAATGGCACCGAGGAGGTCAAGGCCCGACGTCAAACAGCCGACTGTGCCACGTGCGACTGAGCTACACCGTCAGAAAACAAAAGTACCAGTTTGTACCATACAGGGTACAATTACTTGTCACTGGGGTTGTACCTTCAAGGGTCTGCCAATTGTACCCTTAGCTATAGGTAAATCTACTTCTTAAGGTACAGAAATTAACTATTTTGTACCTTGGGGAACAAAACTGTACCAGGGCTGTGCCCATTTCTCCTGACAGTTCAGTGACGTGTGAGATCTCGTCTGAACAGCTGAATGGAAGACCTGCATCACTGAGCAGTCGGAGGGTGGGAGAGCATGTGTGGTCTTTGGGCAACGGGCTGCCGCTCACAGGAGCGTCATCACAGGGACAGGGTCAGAGGCGAGACTCGGCTAAACATTCAGGCGGTGACAGCAAGACGGGCAACTTAAAAAGGTGTGTTCAGACGGCTGCCCATTAATCATCCTGCAGCTTTATCTGAGATATTCAGCAGGTGCCAAAGCCCAAAATGTGTTGAACAAAAAAGTAAAAAAGGGTTAAAAAGAGGGGGTGTGTTATTCATACCATGCATTTCCAGTTACCTGAATGGGCCTGAATCCTCCCTTGAATATTGAAGCAGGAAAGAGAGAGGAACCAAAGGGAAACCACAATGATGAACAGCAGTGTTTCCCCTGCCATTATATTAGGGGGGGCGCCCCCCCCCCCACCAAAGGCACCTCACGCCCCCCCTTGAAGGTCAAGTTAATTTTATTTAATTTTATTTTCTATATAGCTCCAGATCACAACAGAAGTCATTTAAGGTCACCTTTCCTATAGAACAGGTCTATACATTGTCCTTTTATTAAACAAACTAAATAGCCTCATGTTATTTATCTTATTTACACAACAGCTTGTCATTTTTGTCTCTACACGGTCACATGTTTACAATTCTCCTCTGCTCTCTGTATCGCACATGGCGGAGTTCCGCACAGACTCGTGTGCACAGACTCGTGTGCACAGACTCGTGTGCACAGACTCGTGTGCACAGACTCGTGCGCGCACACAGGTGAGCACACTCCCACCAGCGGACAGAGAGCACACGTCGGAAAATATGTCACGTCAACCACCTGAAAAGCAGGCAAAAATATCTGCGTATAAACGCTCCCAGGGTGATGAATTGTCAGAAATTGTCATAAAAAGAAATGTTCTGATGTTTAGTTCATTTATTCTATCGACTGCTGTGATTAAAAGAAACACATGAACACCATGAATCCTGTCGGTTCCCCCCTGCCCCCCCCCCCAAGCTGTGAACCTAGGGGAAACACTGAACATGGTGACCCAGAAAGCCAATAGGAAAACACACTGGTGAGCAAGGTGACCCAAAAGTCAATGGGAAACCACAGTGATAAGTACGTTAGATATGACAGCCAATGGGAAACCACAGTGATAAGTACGTTAGATATGACAGCCAATGGGAAACCACAGTGATAAGTACGTTAGATATGACAGCCAATGTGAAACCACAGAGATGTGGTGGACATACATGCGGATGTGTGAACCAAAACACAACACACACACACACACACACTTCACAATGGCTCGCAAATAAACGACAGAGTACTCATTATGAGTCTGCCATCTTCCCAGTCACTTTAGACAGAGAGCTGCTTAATGCTGACACACTACTCTCCCAAATCAGGACTGCTCTGCCAGGACCAGTGAATCTTCAAAGGACATCAACAGATGAACACTGCATTAAGACCCATAAACAGCCAAACAGTTACAAAGAGTTACAGACTAGGATGTGGGGGGTACCTCAGTACTCAATCACCGACCACTTTGTTTTGGAAACAGCCCCCCGGTCATATTAAACCAAGGAGGACCCCCCTCCCCTGGACCTGCTAGGATGAACCTTGGAACTTGAGTTCTGAAGTAGCCCCCTGTGGGTATGACAGTATTTAAAGCCCACAACAAAAGATATGCGGGAAGCCAATGGGCAGCTACACTGATGCATGTGGTGAAAGCGGGAGCCAGTGTGCAACCATGACAAGTCTGATGAAGCAAGGAGCCGATGAAAAACCACACTGATGAGCACGGTCGAGCAGGAAGCCAATGGAAAACCACAGTGATGAGCACAGTTCCAGCAGGAAGCCAATGGAAATCCGCACTGTTTTCATTGCACAGAGATCGAGTGTTCAGAACTCCACAACTAATAGCTGAGGCAGAAATTTTGCAGGAAAAGAGAGAAGAGCTGTGTACACTTCCTGAACACTTCCTGAACACTGAAACTCACATAATGCTGGCATGTACAGAGCAATTTCACTGTAGACTGTTAAGGGCTTTTAGAGAATTTTATCTGTAATTCAACAACCTCGGGGTACAGCCCCCCCTAGGCCTTTTCAATAGGGAAAAGGGAAACATTACAAACTACAAAAAGGCCTGTTTTCAGCTAGTAGTCCTCACAGACCCCCTCCAGCTTCCTCCCTGAGGCCTATAGACCACTGCTTATCAAAGCGGTCCTTGGTTACGCCCTTGGTTAGGCATGACATCACCAATTGCTTCCAGGCTAGTCGGGCCGGGGTCTGGAAACCAAAGTTGCACAAACTGAAGGATAATGATGTCATTGAAAGCGTGGACGTGAAGGACGTGCAAACGGGCCGCTGCGGAGCCGGGGTAGCACAGTCAGAGCCAAGGCAAATAAAAAAAAAAGGCCTTTGTTTTGGCCCTGCTGTCGATCCCGACTTGCCACCGGAGGCCAAGCTGGAGAACTAGACCGTAGCTTTAGACACACAAAGCAGAGGTAACCGGGGAGCCTTCCAGACCGAGATGAATAACCAAGGAAGTCCAAAGCTATGCAGGACAGTGGGCCAGCTCTCTAACAAGTGGGATCCAGTCACATCAAAGAGCGCGTGTTAACTTAACGAGCTTCATTACGGGACCTCACACACCTCCGCCAAGGCACTGGCATCATCCACACAGCCGACCCACTGTCAGGAGCTATCAATAAGCCTAATAATAATCAATTTGTTTCTTCTTTAATATCATCAACGATATGAAAGGACACCACAGGAGTGGTGCTCTGTGCAGGGCAGCAGGGGGCATGCTGGGTAATGAGCCCCCACACTTCGCCCCCACACTGAAAGGTCAAGGAAGCTGCTCGCTTCAGAAGGAGCTTCAGACACATTAAACATTCCATTGTGGGTCCCAGTGCCTCCAACCCCCCCCACCCACCCCCCAAAACAAACCCCTACCCACTTGTTAAAATCAACAGCATTAGTCTGCTAAGTGAAGACTCTATGTTCCAGAAAACAGAGTTCTACATACATACACGCAAGACAGAGCTTCTTAATGGTCACCACAAGCCAGTGGGAGACTCCGCATAAATCCCATGAGGGCTTAATTACAAAACTGCTCCAGCAAACATAACTGCCATCTTCCCACACCGGCAAATGAACGACACGCATCGCAGAACTTGGGAACGAGCGGAGACTAGCTTTGTGGTATGATTGCATCTCTGCAAGTTCAGGGAGACTGCTTCCTTTGAGTCTAGAAATGGGAATCTATCCCTACACCAAACAGGCAGGTGGTGCCTTGTATCAAATCCCACTTTACCATGAGGTCAGAGGTCACCGATCCTCTCAGCGTATTGCATTGGTGCGGTGTGCCATGCAAAGAACACTTCTACTCCTCCAAACACGCTTGCTGATTATGGGTATGATGCCATGGGCGACACAGACCAGACATGGCCGGCCGTCATCCAGTCAATGACAACCCGGCGGTGGTGATACACACACAGCAGAGAAACCCGGGGGGGTGGCATGTTACCTGATGATGGGTGGGGCGGGGTCCTGGCGCAAACTGGAGTAAGGGGCATCATGGAGACAGGAGGAGAAAGAATAGCGAGGAATCAAGGGAGGAAGGCAAATCACATTCATACACTTCATTTACAGTATCCCTTAACCCCTGATTTGCCAGCTTTCATGAGTCCTGTAAAAGATCTGCACTGTAGTCAGTATTTCTTGGGCTGTGTCTGGTTTAAAATATCAGACAATGAGATGCTCACAACTCTCTATTTTTAGGCCCACTGACCTGGTAACCACGCCCCTGAAACCATGTGACCTCCCCACCAATCCCCTGCCGGAGGCGTGGCACTCACCGGGCGGCTCTGCGGCTGTGCGTTCATTGGCTGGGTCTGAGGTGAGTACACCAGAGGGGCGGAGCCTGCATTCTGTCCATGGGTATATGGAGACTGTGCACAGGTGGGGGGGGGGGTAAGAGTAGAATGGGAGTCACCACAAAGCTCACACATGTACACACACCAACACACCAACACACCAACACACCAACACACACAGGTTTTTTTGTCCATGCTGTCACACACCCGCCCTGATTCACCTTAATAGACCGGTGTGTGTTTCAGAATGGGAGTTTCTTTTTTAAATCATTGCTATTAATAGCATGGTTCACCTCNGCCGCCCTCTGCCAGTGTACTGGGGGGGGGGGAGGGTGCAGTTCCTGAATGCAACATAAGGCCACAAACTTATTCTTTATATCCATGCGTCCACATGATCTGTCCAAGTCCAAAAGTACAAGCTTTCCTTCCTTCGCAGAAGAACCAGAATGAAAGCTTGACCTGAAAGAGGTCAAGGGGGAAAATGAGTCCCCTGATTGACATGGGTGACCCCCCCTCCCCAAACACCGACAGGCTGGGTATGAGTACTCGTATATCCAGTGATTTCACACTCATTTCATAACAAGCCTGCAGGTCGCAGATTTTAGCCCTAACCTCAATGAAGTTACCGCTGAGGGTTTTCACACGGGGGGGGGGGGGGGGGGGGGTTGGCTGAACAGGCATCACAGCTTCGGCTGGGAAATCTGAGCTCGTTCATCATGTCAGGCCAGCGGAAGAGCAGAGTCATGCTGACAGGCCAGAGTTACTGTGTGCCGGTGCTCTGTGCGTGTCGACATGTGTGCGCGTCTCACACTAACCCTTCCCAGACTCATAGCACTGCATGTTACACTCTTAAAAATCTGAGTCGAAAGCTTTCACATCAACCTGAAGCGTGCACACTTGTAGCTAGACGGCCAATCACAGGGGCACAGAAATAGGCATGAAGCTAAACTGACCACACAGACCAAACCGAAGACACAGAAATGCGTGCGTGACTAGACAAAATCAGAAAAGCTAACCGGGGGCTAAAATGACACGTAAAAATGCAGAAAGAGACATGCTGTGTGACAGTAGAGGCCAGAAGGAAGGAATTCAGCATGCCCTCTAACACGCTGAGGCTGCGTTTGTAACACGTGTCACACGGCTATTAAAGCAAGCTAATTCTTCAAATCCACGATCCGCTTCAGACCTCGATTTCTGAGCCATGGTTCGGCTCATACCTCAGGTTTTTTTTTCTCTTTTTTTGGAGGGGGGGGGGGAGCAGAGGAAAAAGAAAAAACAAGGAAAAAATTCTCACCAACAATTTGGAACAATAAAAAGAGGAACACTAAAGAACATGTAGATTAACTGCATAAAAAGTAACTAACATAACAAAAATAAAAGATAAAAAACTTCAGATCAGTCAGAAATAAACTGGATAACCATGGGCTATTATCCCTCTTGAGCTAACGAAACTAGCCTAGCTTTTACCGTAGGTGTGGTTACTCAGTCATGATTGGACTAAAGTAGTCATGTGACACACACAGTAGGAAGATAAGAAATGGTTAAATCGATAAAGTTTACAAAACATACAGCTTGCCCTTACTTTAAACAGAATAACAATTTTGTGATTTATATGTGTTATTTTGTAAACTTTCGTAACATTAGTAACATTCAGCAGGCTGCACTTGCAGTGGGGGGGGGGGGGGGGGGGGGGGGGGGGATGTTGCGGTTCCGGAAGACAGAACACGAGATCGTGAACGTTTGTATCGTGGTTTCATTACACCATTATTAAAAGCACACACTGCTCAACGGACATATACCCCCAATACCCCCACATGCCCCTGCTCAGGTTCCCCCCCTTCCCAGCATGCACTTCCATCTCTGTGGCCTTTATGCACTTTTTTGGACCTAATAACTTTCAAGCGAAACAGACAAGCAGAGAAAAATAAAACCATGGGAAATGTTTCCAGATTTTCTTTAAGAATCTTCTCAGGACTTTCCCCCTTACTGTGAACTAACCCTACCTCTACTTCTCCTTCACTAGTTCCTACGTGGACACACACAGACACACACACACACACACACACACACACACACTTTCCCGACACTGAACCCTTGAGGCGGGACCAATACTTGAGAAAGTCCTGGGGAGGAGGAGGCGTGGCCGTGTGCAGTGCCAGTAAGGTTATGGTGGCCCTTGGTGATGTCGTGGGGGGCATACGGGCCGTGCCTTGGGACCTGGCAGACAAGGAGAGAAGCCTGTCAGTTCAAAGGAGGACGACGAAGAGGCCACTGACCGACTGACTGACGTGGCGTCTGGACGCGCAGAGGGCTAATAACCGGAGAGATCTGTCTCGATCAGACGCCTCACGTGCAGGACTTTGAGCCAGATGGTCTACCCCTGCCACGCCAGACTGGCCAATCACATCTCTTTGTCCCTTCGGGTCGGGGAGCGGGACGATGCACAGCGTAACCGAGCCGCAGATGGAGGGGTGACGAGCGGCGCCAGAAGACAAGAGGCATATTTTGGGATTTATCTGAGATGTCGGGCTTTGGACCAACGCAGCACCACGGGTCAACACGCCTCCCCCCCCCCCCTTTGCTCTCCACTTTAAGACAAAGACGATGCTGACAACGTCAATGCAGCCAAACTAAACCAGCGCACCTTGCAAACATCCCACATGCTGCTTACTGGCAGCAGACACAGTTATGGGGTGGGGGGGGGGAGGAGCCACAACAAGGGGCGCCGCCCTCTGCCAGTGTACTGGGGGGGGGGGAGGGTGCAGTTCCTGAATGCAACATAAGGCCACAAACTTATTCTTTATATCCATGCGTCCACATGATCTGTCCAAGTCCAAAAGTACAAGCTTTCCTTCCTTCGCAGAAGAACCAGAATGAAAGCTTGACCTGAAAGAGGTCAAGGGGGAAAATGAGTCCCCTGATTGACATGGGTGACCCCCCCTCCCCAAACACCGACAGGCTGGGTATGAGTACTCGTATATCCAGTGATTTCACACTCATTTCATAACAAGCCTGCAGGTCGCAGATTTTAGCCCTAACCTCAATGAAGTTACCGCTGAGGGTTTTCACACGGGGGGGGGGGGGAAGGGGTTTTGTCTTTAACCTCACCCAAAATCGGGGAAAAAAAAAAAAAAAACCCCCCCCCCCCCAACAGCTTCCTGTAACAACATAGCAAGCTGCCTGGTTTTGTCCGCAAGCACTTAATGAGCATACATTACCGTCAATATTTCAGCTTTTATTTTTAACTATAATACTTAAAAACATTTTTCATGCCTGGCTCTTTGGCTGTGGTTTGACGAAATGCAATAATTATAATGCTCTGCTTTATTTTTTTTGGAAACGATGCAGGTATAAATAGCACAAATACGTGATCTGTTTAGTCCAGACGAGAGGATACAGCCGCCAAAAGTCGGCTGACACTCCCCGAACCAGCCAGGGCAAGTCAGACCACACAACATCCCATTCACCACCTGGGCAAGATGGAGATATGCTACACATGGCCAAATCGCGGCTTTCCTCCAGAAACCTCCATGCCTTAATCTCCAACCATGCCGCTCTTCTGCACACAGGGACAGGCTCTGGCTCGCTGCCTAACCAATGCTGTGTTTCTGGACCCTAGGTCACATAATGCGGAAATTCAGGTGTCAATCAGATGCTAATTAAAACGTTTCCTCTAGAAGCTGGGGAATCCCAAGGACCAGGGTTGGCCACCGGTGGGAACAGATGGCAACAGATGGGCTTTCTGGCGTCCGGGCGGCAAGCCGATCCGAACGGCAAGCCGATCCGAACGGCAAACCACGGGTCTTACAGGGATTGCTTACTTTTCCATTCTACCTGCACGGTCTGTTCAATTAACGATTCCAACGATACCATCAGGGATTTGGAGGAAGCATCACAGCCGGGTACCTAACTAGAACTTACCTCTTCTGCTCTGGATGGTCAGCAGAACAATAAGATGCAGGTCAGGGACTCGAATATTTTGCAGTGTTTGTGTTTACAGAGAAATGCCCGCGACCATATTTTTGCTGAGATTCTGGTCATTTAGAACCTGGCATGAAACAATAGCCTATCTGGAGAGCAGGGAGGAGAACGGTCAAGCTTGAGGAGGTACATGAGAATGTCTATGCCACCTTTTCATAGATAATCGACATGAAGGTGCTAGGTAGGTAGGCTGACCTCCTCGAGGATCACGCTCATAGGACTCAGAGCTTTAGCCCGCTGCATGCTGATTGGCTGACTCTAAACCAGCATGACTCCGTCAGAGTGCCCTACAGACAAGCTCGCCGTACCCCAGCTCCAAACCCTCGTCCATCACTCACGCTGTAGACGGCGGCGACAGCAGGCTGCGATGCGAAAATCCGGTCCTCCAGCGCAGGTGGCAGACGGGCAATCCTGGGACGACAGGCGTTAAGGTGAAGAAGGCGGGGCTTGGGTTTAACATGCAAAAATAGGAACTGACTGAAAGCGAGCAGACTGGGGCGATGACACGCAGATGGAAGGAGGGCGGACGAGGGGCAACTGTAACCAGCAACACGGCGACACTGAATCGATTATCCCGACCGAAATGTGAGGAACCAAACATCCGCTGTTAACACAACAAGGCCGTGTGCCAACACCTACCAGGCGGTTCTCACCAGGCAACGCGGCGAGAGGGTGGGCAGCAGCCGTCCACGCGGAACGTTCCGGAAAAAATTCCAGTGGGAAACGTGACATATGCAAAACCAGCTTTGCAGTGTGAGCTGCAGGCCCCCACATCCTAACACACAACGTGATAGCAGGGTGGCACCCAAGGTCATATGGTTTCAGGGAAGCAGGCCCCCCCCTCCCCATACACTGTAGGATAAAGCCCCACCACCAACTCCCCACACCTGCTCCACCTGGAAATCTGCCAGCCTCCACCCAAATAGACAGGACTGGGACTTCAGAAACTGCAAACCAATCCAAACATTCCTCGTACAGCAATGAGGATTTCTATGCAAAGTAAAAACGCAAATACTCTCTTCTGAAAACACCAGGCAGTATATCTATCAACTGATAAGTGAGGGGGAAGAGTCTGTGTTTGAAGCTCTTTAAAAAAATCTAAATGTTTCCTTAGGTGATTATACACGGACAGAGAGGTACCTCCAGTGCTGTTTTAGGCACGCAGAGACGTGTGAGTCAGACCCAGCCAAGCGGCCAGGCAGGCCTGGCCAGGGGAAATGAAACAGGTGCTTTCAACAGCACTGGGTGGTCATCAAGCCCTGCAAGCAGCCTGAGGGCTTATGGGTATTCGTGACACATGGACAGCACTAAGTTCAGCTCATTGGTTTAATTCAGAAAGACTTTTCATCCACAAAGCCCACAAACATAATCAGGCACGTGGCCACATAAGCTCATCGACAACAGCAACAGCCTGGTCAGACTCCACCACCACCGGTACTCAATCTCGGGGTCTTGTAGGGCCCCATGTGATTCAGTCACGTGACACAAAGAACACAGCAGAAGCCCCCTATTAATCCAATCACATGACTATAAGCAGGGAACACGACATGTTACTTTAGTCACATGACAGAGATGTCTGAAGTCAACATCTAATAGTCTTCAGAAGCAAGTTGTGTTGTCAGTCCCAGAGCGACAAGGACCAAGAGATCATGTTTCTTCATATCCTCCCACTTCAGATTCATGTCTCACTTTGGTCTAAGCACAGAGAATACCCCACCCATGGTAAAACAAGAGCAGAGATGTCTTTGCCCGGGTCAGGAGCAAGCAGTTAAGTAATAATGAAGTAATCAGGCTTTTGATTAGCCAAGGTAAGATGCCTTAGAGCTGACAAATGAAATTTGTCTGCAGAGAGAAGCAGTCATACCTGAGCTGGACAAAACCCGGCAGGGCGAAGGGTCCTGTATGACAACCTTAGTCCTATATCATTACACACACTTATCATTAGACACTTATGGTCTGTGGATGGAGATGATCTGCTTGTCACGATCCTCCTTGCAGGTTTTACATCATAGTGCCCCAAATGAGACAACCATTATGGTATTTGTATGCAGTCTCTCTCAAGACAAAGCGATTTCAGAGCCATCTGAAGCTCAGGCACAGACCCAGCAGCTCCAGCACTGATCTGCCGGGGGGGGGGCTTTTAAAGTGTGCAATAAAAAGTAGAAGGTTAAGACGACCGGTTTCAGCTCCAGATATACGCGCATGATTGTGCACATTTTTCATTAGACCTAATTTAACTTAAACTTCCACCCAAACAGACTCCAAAGCCAAAGATCATGTGGCATGAATTTTCAGCTGTAAACATACAACTGAAATCTGAAAGTGCCGCAGGGCCCAGGGGCTCGGAAGAGCACAGCTGGCCGATTATTCAAGGAACACTGGAAAATACAAAAACAGTGACTTTGAGTTCCAAACTCACCAGTCACCCCTACGTACAGGTGTAACTGGAACAGTGCCGGTACAAATGTGTGGGAGGGGGGTGGGGGAGTGCCTTAAGCAAAGCTAAGCAAAAAACTACATTAAAATGCTAATAACCCCTATGCTGTGGGGGGGGGGGGGGTTCACAGAGAAGGAAGGGTACATAAAGGCACTGAGAGTGGAGCAGGTGCTGAGTCCCCTTACCACGAGAAAGAGGGATTCTGCCAACTCCGTGATCAAAGAATTGACTATTGTGGGGAGGAGGGGCTCTGTGGGGGGAGGCGGGGTCTCAAGGTGCTGGCCTTACATGGCCTCATTGTCAACAAATGGTGGGAAGAGCCCCCCAGCCGCCAACGCCACCCCCGCGCATGCCGAGCGGTGCTGCTTTTGTGTGGAGAACGCCACTGGCGGCCATATGGGCTGCCTGTCTCCCTGGCAACCAGGAGCAAAGACTCACACAGAAAAAAGGAACACACCCCCCCCACCCACCACCCCCACCCCAGGAATTCCGTCCGCAGGGAGATGGGCCACGGACTAAGTTGTGGAAGATGCTTTGGGGCGGGGATGGGGAAGGTAAAGCCCTCCTGTTTAACTCTTCGCAAGCCTCTCAACAAGCATTAACCCCTTCAGAGATTGTGCAGGTAAGGACATGAAGATGACCTCAAAAACGGCAACCCAAACAGGGTGAGGAAGCGACCGATGTCCTTCAAGGGGTGGATCCCACCACTGGCATGCAGGGCCTTCCACACTCACAGAACACTCACAGAACACTCACAGAACTCCTCAGGTAACCTAGCTATCGCATATGAGGTCCATAGAAAAGACCGTCAAACCAAATGGCCATGTGACATCTTGGGTTGTGTCACACCCAGCAGCTGCAGTGACTGCGTACTGAATGATAAACCCTTTACAGCGCCGTTAAAAACACCCATCTTTACATCTGCGATGTCACTTATCCCGCACTGGGATATGGTGACACCAGTGGGACGCCCTGGACAATTAAAGGACACCAGTTCACCTGTATAACAGCTCCACCCACGTAATGAGGTTTGCTCACCATATCTTAAAAAGGACATTGCGGCCTTAGAAAAGGTGCAGCGTAGGGCCACAAGAATGATTCCTG